TCCATGTCCAATTGCTTCTTGTTAACTGTTGTTCTCTTTATTGAATTATTTAATTGTTTCATGTTAATTGTTGATATTCTCGTTGAGGTATTATTGGTTTCGTAGCTTTATTTTATTACTCCGTTGGCTTATATGGATTCATTGGTGCCTTATGGTGCACGTTGGTTGGTCTCGCTGATTTGTTTTCATGAGTGAAGTTTCATAATCGCAGTGATATTCTATTGTGTAGTTGAAGCATAAGAATTGTGAAAATTGAGTTAACTTGTGAAACACCTTGTATTCATTCTTTGTGATTGGTGTTGATATATACATATGTTGGGATCGGGTTGCGCGCCGCAACATGAGGAATAAGGGAGAATTGTGATTGTCTGGTGAGATCGGGTTGCACGCCGCAACAAGGAGTAATAAGGGTGGACAAGTGGGATCGGGATGCACGCCGCAACAGAAGGAATAAGGGTGATATGTGTTGAGGAGTAATAAGGGAGGACAGGTGGGATATGGTTGCGCGCCGCAACAAGGAGGAATAAGGGAGAATATAGATATTGTTATTGTTGGAATATCGATATTGTTATTGTTTATATGGTGGGATCGGAATGCACGCCGCATCAGTTATGGTTTTGGCATTTATTTCTGTTGAAGTCTATTACTGAGATATTGAAAACCCCCTAAGGATCGGTTATAGCTGGATACTAGTAGAATGGTTGAGTCCTGTGTTTCTGTAATGCAAGTCCCGGTTATTTTTTATTCTATACCTCTGTTCTGTTATTATAGACTGCTGCAGGTTATATATATATTGTTATGCCCCGCCGTAGCCTCGTCACTACTTCGTCGAGGTTAGGCTCGGCACTTACCAGTACATGGGGTCGGTTGTACAAATACTACACTCTGCACTTCTTGTGCAGATTACGGAGCTAGTGGCGGACCGTAGTTCGAGGTTGCTACCTTCAGTCCAGTGGAGACCCGAGGTAGTCCTGCAGGCGTCCGCAGGCCTTGGCGTCCCCTTCTATCCTGTTTTCCTTTTCTGTTTTATCTATTTCCGAAGCAGATGGGTGTATTTGTTTGTTTAGAGTATTATGTGTAGTATTCGTAGATGGTCCGTGAAATTGTGACACCAGTTCTGGGTGGAGTTTTATTATGGTTTCGCAGTTGTATTAAGATAACTTGTTAAATTCTGTTCTTTCATTTTATTCCGCTGATTTACTTAGGATAACTTGTAAATTGTTAAAAGATAAAAGGAAAAGACGAAATAATTTATAACGTTGGCTAGCTTAAAGAGTATAATGTTAGGCGCCATCACGGTTCCGACGATGGGAAATTCGGGTCGTGACATGCTTGCTGTAAAGGTTGGAAAACGGTATTTTTGGTTTGAAATTAACAATAACACGTGTAACCTTATAATTGAAATGTATGTAGATTGTAAGTGATATTATTAAAATGATCATTGAACTTACAATTTGAAACACTTTCATAGCATTTTAGCTGATTGTCATGTCTACTTGACTTTTTCGTCTTTTTGGCCAAATTTATTTTCAAAAATTATTTTAGTTCTCTTTTAAAAAAATGTCACAAATTAGTTTATTATTTATAAAACTAACTCATATTACATTGTGTTTGATGTTATTATAAAAATAACATAGAAAATTTAAAAGAAATATGTCTGATTATCCATCTGTTTGATATATATCAGGCATTGAATTCTCAAAATAATTCAAATCCTAGCAATTAGATGTTCAATACGGATGAGCTTGCCTTTATTAATCTTGTAATTGGATGTTCAATTTGAGCATTAAAAGGGTTTTATTTTTTCTATTTTCTTTTCATTTTTTTTTTTTGTTTTTTGTGGTGGTTCTCAAGTTAACTGATTAAATGATGGCGACCCTAACATAAAATTATAGTATTTGAAAGTAATGGCACCCTACTGCACAATAATTTATGCTGTTTTTTTCCCCATGCAGCTTGATTCTGTATTTGACCCTTTCCTGGAAGCAAAACGGATGCTCTAAAGTTGAAGTTTTTGTCTTTGTTTCTTGTACTGTTTCTTGTACATTCATCAAAGGAATTACATGGATATATCTAGCAATATTTGGCGGATAGTCTTGAAATATAATGTTTAAGTAGCTACATATTATTTCCCGTTAAAATTTGTTAGAATGATCAATGAAAATCTGACGATTACATATAGTGCAAAGCTAAATCCAGAAAATCTATCTTCTTCAGTTACCGCAAAGCATGAAACTAGCAAGTTCCAATCTCATATTCTATTTGTAAAGGCTTATCTCAAACACTAACTACAGTGAAGAGCAAGAACTGTGGTATTGAAGAAGAAGAAGAAGAAGAAGAGGAGAAGGGGAGGAGAAAGGGAAGCTGAAATTTTTTAAAAAGTGGGTACGAATACAAACGGAAAGACAAAACGGCTACAGGTTAAAAGGGGCGCCCACCCGTACAATTTTTACAAAACGGATGGCAACGAAAAGTTTTCCTATATGCTACTCTATAATAAGTGTATTGAGTATGAATAGGAAAATTATAAAAACATATCCAGCATAACCTTTTGGTATATGCTGGTGTGATATAGTATATAATCTCTTTCAGATATTAAAACAAAGAAAGGCTGACATTAATTTGACTTAATAATTGCACTTATAACCGCAGCCTTTTTTGTTTTCTTCTATGGGAAATTAAAAAAAAAAAAAAAAGACATTCTAAGGCTAAGAAGAATATGCTAAGACGTTCTAAGGCTAAGAAGAATATTTAATTAGTAAAATATGAATATTTTTTGAGATTTAAATTTAATTTTTTTCCATCTTTTAAATGTAACATTAAAAAAGGAAAAAATAATAATTTTTGCCTGTAACAACCAAAAAATATTTAAACATCAAATGTTATTATCGGTGTATAACAACCAATCACTATAAAAGTCCAAAAATATCGAAACAAATGAAGCTATTATAGAGAGGTTTGAAAATATTATTTATTACTATTATTAAATTATATATATAAAAAATGTATTTTTACTTCTACTCTTATTTTATTTTGGCACAATGATAATATGAGTTGAGTTTAAAGAAAAAAAAGAGTAAGGATTCATACCGCCCAAGCCAACTTTATTTGTGGGCTAAGGTGTAGTAGTTGTACCCTTGCCTCATCTCCTCTCCACTTAGATGTTCTGATATAACGACCCTCTCAGCTTGGGGTGTTCATTATTCAGTTTGGATCGGTTTTTCCCTAAAAAGAAACCAAACCAAGTAAGTCTGTTTTTTAAATATTAAAATCAAACCAAACCAATTAAGTCAATTTTTTTCTGGATTCGATTTATGTCGGTTTTTGTCGGTTTTTCGGTTTTTCGGTTATTTGTCGTTTTTTCTTAAATATAAGACATACACGACCAAACACATATTCCGGCAACCACATTTTCAACGCAACACTGTCAAATCAATAGCCCTTTGAAAAATCTATTATTTACTAAAATATATTGATGATGATTGAATCAAATAGTGATGAATAATTTAAGGACTCAAATAAAAATATATTTTTTTTAACATGAAATTGATTCTTACACTTCACAAAAGAAAACTACTAATCAAACTCGAATATAAAGGTAAAGAATTCTCCTAAAAGTGCAAACGATTAACATCCACCATAAAAATTTTGAAACTTTGTATAAAAATATACATATATATAGGTGTAATCATAAATTTGAAATAGCTACTCCTATAGGCGGTTTGGTTCGGTTTTTTTGGTTATTTTTTGATTAAAACCAAAATCAAACCAAACCAAATTTGATCGATTTTTAAAATTCAAAATCAAAACCAAACCAAACAAAAAAGTATCGATTTTTTTGGTCGGTTTGGTTTGGTTTTCAGTTTGGTTCAATTTTTCAGGTTTTTATGAACAACCCTACTCTCAGCTATCAAAACACAATCCTTTAGACACTATTGTCCCTGTCCATTGTTCAGATTCTCTTATCCTATAGTTGATATATATTTTGGTCTAAAATTGTTTATTGATTATATATATGCTTGATTTTGTAATTTTGTTGTATTCTGGTGAAGAAACGACTTACCTTTTGCAGGAGAATATTGTCCCACTGTTGCCGTCTCTCTTGATTGTCATTGTTCTTCGTCAATTAAAAAGATTAAAATAGGTGGAGTGTTTAAGATGGCTAAAAAGGGAAAGTTAACTTTTAAGCCACATACAGTATATTTAGATCATTTCTCATAGTTCAAGCATAATTAATTTGACCTTTTTCCGTTATTAAATTTTAGATTCGTGTTAGCAAACCATGCTATTGTCACCTCTGTTAGTCAATAACGATAAATATACCCGCAACAACAAGAATTCGATAGACCAACCATTAACAAAGTGATCTTTTTGCATAGTATAAGGTAAATTTAACCTTTTTCCCTATGAAAAATAAATCTTACCAAGCTAATGTAGTAGTATTTGGTTTATAGTATTAAATAATATACTCTTATTACGTTATGCAAAAATCTATATATACTTTATGCGGAATAGAAAAGTGGAATAAGAAACGTTCATGAGCCATAATAATTTCTACATATAACATGTCATTGTAGACATAAATAAATTTTTTGGAAGAAAAATTTAAAATATGTGAGTGAAAACATGATTAACTTGCAATACTCCTCAAACAAAAAAAATTTAGTTTAAAAATAATTCAAATACTGATATTCAGAATTAACGAACACAAAAAGATTTGTTTAGGTGAAAAAGTGATTTCCAGTAAAATAATTTAACTTTTTGGAGTAAATTTTTTTATCTAAATACAACTTCAACTTTCAAATATCTAGCTGTTAAAGTGAAAGATCAAGTAGCCAATCCAATTGCACTACTAAACCAAATACTCTTCATTTTCTCCCCACACATACACACACACACACAAAAAAACAAAAAAAAAAAAAAAAAAAAAAAAAACACCCCCCCCCCCCCACGCTAAAATTCTTTCATTTTTACCAAAAAATTGTCGTGCCTGTACAGATTCGAGAAAAAACCCTAGTCAGGCAAATACGCTCGCTCTTAAGACAGCTCTCCGTTCCAACAATGGCGATGAGCACTAGTGCTGAAAAAAATTCCAGACAAACGCTAAAATTTCTTATTTTCATTTTCTCCAAAAGTTGTCGAGAAAAAGCCAAACCTAGCACCATAGGAACAAAAAGCAGTAGCAACTAAGCTCGGCTTCACCCTTGTAGCGCCGCCACTGTTCCACCCTTTGACCGCCATTGGAAAGAACCAATAACACCACCTTCTCACCTCTATCGGATCTCCTCAAATACCACAGTCCAATTCCAAATCACCAACCATGGGGATGAGCAATGCTGAAAAACTACCCCAAGAAATCATATTCGACATACTTACCCGGCTTCCGGCTAAGTTACTCGGCCAATTCAGGTGCGTATCAAAGCAGTGGTGCTCTCTTCTCTCATACCCGCATTTCGTCAAAGCTCACCTCAATTTTCACAAACATGATCAAGAAGTAAAACTCATTTGTATCCCTACTTCTCTGGCTCTTCACGTTAACACTTTTAACCACGACCCCCAAAATGGAATCGATGCCATTTCTAGGAGACTTAACTTTGAGGGGCTCTCAGACAACTGGGAAAGAGTTGTTGGCTCATGTAATGGCCTGGTCTTGGTACTGAATGAGGAAGATATTTTATTTTTAATCAACCCCACTACTTTAGAGTATTGTAGAATTCCAAACTCTCCTCTGGCTCTTCCTAAGTCTGGTACCTCTAGCACGTATAGTCTAGGCTATGATTCTGCTAGTGATGATTATAAGGTGGTTACTCTTTCTTATTATAAGGATGATATTTCCTGTACTTTTGTGGATGTCTTCTCTATGAGAATGGGTTTATGGAGGCGACTTGAGAGCTTATGTAATGGTGGTGCAATTCCTATTCACGGTTTTCCGGTTTTGGTAAATGGGGCTTTCCATTGGTTGGCTGGCAAATCTTTTGCATCTGCAATTGTTGCTTTTGATTTAAGCGATGAGAAATTCTTCGAGGTGCCAGTACCTACCACTACTGATGGCAAATGTCCTTGGTTTTACGATTTGGTGGGTCTTGGAGGGTGTCTTCGTATCTTGGCTAAAAAACACAAAATTGATGCTTGGATTATGAAAGAATATGGAGTTGCGGAGTCTTGGACCAAATTCAGTGTTACAAGCCAAGTTTCAGGTTTCACCCCTTTGCGTTTGATGAATGATGATGATATTGTATTGGATGTGGCTGCAGAAGAGAAGTTGATTGTCTACAATAAGAAAGAGGAACAGTGGAGAGATTTGAATGTTGATGGAATAATAGCTACGTTTGCAAGAACTAGAACTTTCATGGAGACTCTTGTCTCTCCTACGTTTGGCCTTGATGCAATATTTTGAGATGATGTTGTACTCAGGTAATACATCAGATTTTCATGATTTCTTATTCATTTTTATTTTCTATTTTTTTTAATTAGGTCCTCATATTTGGTTCAATAATCCTACAATTGTATGACTTGTAATTTAATCGTACTTGGAGTTTTGTGATGGTAATTCTTCAGTCCTAAAGAAGATATACTGTATTACTTGAAGGAAAACACTTGGATTTGTCGCTTGCATTAATCCAGCATCATATAATGCTGGTGCTTTAAGAGAAAAATAGTTACATTTTGGGCATACATTGTCTTGTAAAGAATAGTTTCCAGTCCTTTTGATTTTTTTTTGAATCATGAGTAACCTCCCAATGAACTAATGTAGATTGTGGCCGCTTTTGTGCATACTGTTTTTAGGAAATCTGATGGTAGAAGTCTTATCTAGCCGTTCTAAATATTAAAAAACTTTATGTTACTCCCTGCTTGATTATGTAATTCTCAGAATCTATGATTACAAAGACTAAAGGTCAATACTGGCTAGAACTATATCTTAAGAAGCAGATACCTCCTAGTTAATAGTTCAACATATTTTCTATCTAATACTATAAGATAACTAAATCTCGAAGAAGCTCTTTTGACAAACGCTTGATGCATAAATATGTTGTTATTTTCTGGTTCATTTATTTGCTATGATAGGATGGTTTGTCACTGATTGTCTTGTTTTTCCTGTAAATTGTTCAAAAGCCACTCTATTATATTTGCATAGCAAAGCTGTGGTTGCAACTCTGATAAATAACAGTTTCAGCAGTATTATAAAGGCTATACCTTTCGCCAAATCCGTTGCTTTTATTGTTGCTGGTTTTCATATTTGTTCTTTTGAAGTTGCAACATGTAGTCTAGTAGTCTACAGGCGTTCAGGGTACAGGTTAGCATATGCATTTATCTGTCCACATAATACCATTTGACACTTGTTCTATACCGTGCACAGGGATATGTCTGCGTCTATGGAATTGATTGTTAGAGAACTGTGGACAGAGTCACTGAGGCCTGGATCTCAACAATATATTTTGTTTCCAAGAGTATTACTCTTTAATTATGATGTTATAAAATGGATACTCTTTCAAGAAAGATCACTATCATAGAAGGAGAATGTTTAAAGTAGACTTGCATTTGTGGTTTGTATACTATGTAGTATACAAAGGACAGCACTATAGCACCGTTAGGAGAAACTGGTTCCGATAGTTGATTGTTCACATCTCAATTGAGTTGATCCTTTGAATTGTTGTAAACAAATTTTTAGCTTTGCAATGTTTTAGCATGTCAGAGACAATTGTGCTTAGTTCTCTTATCGTATTTTTGGCTGGAACAATTGAGACATATTCCTTATTTCATAGATAATAGACATTACAGCCTGTTACTGTGATTAATTGGTGAAAGTATGTTAGTCCAACATGCTATGCTTATAGATAGAGAATCTTCAATCCTAGTTAGACAAAATAGTGAGCTTCCTTCTCCTCTGAGCCATAAACAGCCTCGCAATTGATCCTGCCCAAACCTTTTTCAAGATCCAAGCTTTCTACACAGGTTGCCAATGGAGAATGAAATCGAAATCAAGACAGCCATCACCTATGATAGCATGTTGGTTCTTGCAATGGCTTTGGTTTTGGTGGTGAATGACCAAGATTTTACATTAGAACTCAAGCAAATTCCTTCCACTCTGGGGATTGACCAACTTGCTAGTTTTACTATTTCATGAGGAAAAAAGGATATGATCCTATTACTGATGATTGCAAGATTTTAATGCTTTCCTGCTATTATATAACACAGATAACGAACATGAAGCGAGTATCACATATGCTTCCATTGATCCTACTCTTCGAAAATGGATTCTTGGAGTTGGCTTGAGGGTTCTTGACATGATCATGTTGGTATCTGAAGAGCAGAAGCATAGAACACACCTCGAGAGCTTCAATGGCAGCTCAGGGATAATGGAGAAACTAAGCGACAAGCCTGAGAGAAATGAACAAAAAATAGTGTGTTGTATTGATATTCTCCTGTAAAGCAACAAGTGTTCTAGGCACTGAAACTAACTATACCCATTGCATGTAAAAGGTCTCAAGAGAGCTAAATTGTCTTGACATAGGACGACAGGAAAACCAAAAGATAACTAGGCAGAATACATAGTTTACCCCCGGAACTATGGACCAAATCCCTGTGATACACCTTTTGGGAACAAAAATCACCTTACACACTCAACCTTTCCAGAGTGTATCTAATACACACTACTTTTACACTCGTGATTTACACGCATAAGAGGCGAGTGAAGAGTTAAAATGTTGTATCTAAAGCGTCATCTGGAAACTATTTGTGCAGATTTTTCATTTTTCATTTTTTTATTTTCTAAAAAGATTTCGTCAATTCTTTTCCAGGTTCTTCCATCACAACACCACAAACTCCCCACCAGATTTTTCCCCCAAGATCTAAAGGGGAACGAGAAAATACAAAGAACCAGAGTTTCCATATTTGAACACCAATATATTTTGGTTATGACTCGCGATTCAAATCTCCAAATTGACAATTGTTTTTGAGATTGGGTGTTTTTCAGATTTAGATTTTGATTAGCTTCTTGAAATAATAAGGAAGGTGATGTAATCCCAGAATGACTGCTCTTTTTCCAGTTTTGATAAACTAGATATAGATTAATACCAATCGGTTCTTTCTCTCTAACAACTTTGATATGCATTCCTGAAGTCTTATTTATATATGGCGATGACGAAGACCTTGTCTATGATCTCATGAACTGGAAGAGACACCACCAGTTTTCAAAATTATAGCACAGACAAATCTGAGTTTTATAATTAAATGGGTGGAATGTTGAACGGGGCAAAAAAATAGAAAGTAATAGTGAATTTAAACTGTTGGGGTGTTGAAATTGGCAAAGAAAATGAAAATTAGCGGGGAATCTATGCGGTTGGGGTGGTGGGTCTTAAATGTGGTAGGATGAGGTACTGGTATTTTTTTTTCCTTTGCATCGGTGTTTCGGTTTGGAGAGTTGGCAGCCATGGTGGTATAGCTTGGGGAAGACGAAGAAGATGGAAGATTATTTTGGCAATTAGTAAATAATTATAATTTCAAGTATTTTTTATTTTTTATAAAAGGTTTAACCACACGTGTCACATTATTATTAGTGTGTGACTACACTTGCTGAGAAAAAAGTGGTCAAACACTAAAGAGGTGTGTATTAGACACACTCGAGAAAGGTTGAATGTGTAAGGTAAATTTCGTTCTGAGAAGGTGTGTCACGGGGATTTGGTCCATAGTTCCGGGGATAAACTATGTATTCTGCCAATTAATAACTACTCCATTGGACCGAGATCTACTTGGGATTTTTTGTTCTCAGTCATTTGACATATCTCCAGAACTAAATGGAACTAATGTAATATCACTTTTTTAAAATAATAAATTCCATCTATTTGTGAAAGATTTTTTTACAAAATATTTGTGAAGGTCACTTGAGATGGTTTGGTCACATCTTACATCGTCTTACAAAAGCAACGGTCCGTAGGTGTAAAATTATGATAAATGAAGGTGTATTGGGAAAAAACTGAATTTAAATATTGAAGATGACGTGTCATGACACGTGGACCGGTCAAATAATCAAAGCGTGGTAATCAGTTAGAAGGCACGAGCAACAACAGATGCGGGAGAAAAAAATACTTAAAGGCACGAGCTATTATTCAAATGAAATGAGACTCGTACCTGTTCGAGTCATTTAAAGCTCGAAGATCAGAAGGAATTGAAGACATGAATTTGATAGCGTAAAAGAGTCCAAATTCAGCATTAAATGCCAAATACGTTAGAGAATTTGTATTTAATAGGAATGATTGAATAACGTTTCTTTTAATGTCATTTATTGCTCGTAATTGCCTCATTAAGACAAAGGCATTACACTTTCTCTTAGAATTAACTATAAAAGGAGAAGGTCTCAACATCTGTAGAACACGAAATATCATTGCGATTATACTGAAATATATACTTATTCATTGCTTTATTGTTCTCAAAGTCTCTCATTTCTTGATTATCAGTAACCCGATTTCTCTCTTAAATTTTAGCTTTAACCAAATATTCAGTTTTTTGGTTAAACAAATTGGTTCCGTTGCCGGAAATCTGATAATCTATTCTTTTTAAGTTACATTTTATCTGTTGTTATCATCATGTCAAACAACAACAACAAAAATAACAGTGAAAATACCTTGGGAAACCATGAAAATCAAATCCATCAAAATCAAGGTGATTTACAAAACATTAACGTGGTTCCTTCCCCTCAAAATTCACCACGTCAATCTCGTGAAGGCACTCCTACTCCTGAATCTCGTGCTGTTGAACAAGAGCAATCTGAATATTTTGAAGGAGCAGAGGACGCTTTACAAAAAGTAATTGATGCACGGGTTAGCAAAGCTCTTCAAGCTCTAGTTAGTCGATCACCTGTTGCACCACCCACACCTACGCCTAATAACAATACATTGGAGAATCCTCGTTCTGGCCTTGTTAATTCTGGAAATGGAGGAACCCCCAGTGAACCACAGGAAGGAGAACCAGGTAATTCAAATAATTCTCATTTGCAAAATTTAGTACTAACTTTGCAGAAACAGCTTAAGGAACAAAAATGAGGACGTCGAGCAAATCCCTGGAATTCCCCCCTGTAATCAAAGGAGTGGATGTGGAGTAATAACTCGCCACAACCTTGGAAAACCAAGTAGCTGCTCCTCTTTNAGTTTCATCATGAAGAAAGGAGCAATTCCAGGAGGTCAGAAACCGAAAAAAGATCAGGTAAAAACAGATACGATCCATATATGGGACCTGCAGGAAAAGACTCACGGTCAAAGGAGGATAATCAACGATATGATCAAAAATCGAGGAACAGGGAATCTGGTTCTTCATCAAGGTTCAGAAATGACCGAAACAGACAAGAGTCACGAGATGATGACAGAGGTTTTAAAGCGAGATTCGGTGGATATAATTTCAATGTCACTACCTCCGAGCTCGTAGCTGTTTTGAGGAGCATGGGAGACAAGGTACGGTGGCCAAAAGAGATGCGGTCAAATCCAAATAGGCGCAATCCAGATCATTGGTGCGAATTCCACAATGATCACGGGCATAAGACTTCAGAATGTAGATTCTTACAAAGTGAAGTGGATCATCTATTGAAACAAGGGTATCTCACCGAGTTATTTAGTGAGAAAGGTAAGCAAGCCTATATGAAAAATAGGCAAGAGCCACCAAAACCACCTTCGCCCAAGAGAACTGTCAACGTTATAAGTGGAGGTGAAGAGATCAATGATGTATCATATAAAAAGGTTTCAAAAGTGACAATTACTCACGGGAAGAGGCGTCGACATGTACTGGAAGAGGAGAATGTTATATTTAACAACGCAGACGCCGAGGGACTCATAACTCCGCATAACGACACACTGGTAATATCTTTACTTGTACATAATACTAACGTGAAACGAGTTTTGGTTGATCCAGGTAGTTCTGTAAATATTATTTTAATACGGGTATTGCGCGAGATGCAAGCGGAGGATAAGTTAATCCCAAAGGCGCATACTTTGTCGGGATTTGATAACTCTAGTGTTGTAACAAAAGGGGAGGCCATACTTACCACATTCGCAGAAGGCGTCGTTAAAGATACCAAATTTCAAGTGGTAGATATGGAAATGGCTTACAATATGATTCTTGGGAGGCCATGGATTCATGACATAGAAGCTATTCCTTCAACTTTACATCAAGTTATTAAATTCCCACCTCCATGGGGAATATGCCAAATCAGAGGCGATCAACAAGCATTTCCATTGCAGATTCAACTGTTAAAGGTGAAGACAAATAGCAATTACAGAATTTAAGTGAGGGTAACACGGAAACAACCTCACCTGAGCAAAAGCAAACAGATCTGGATTCAAGGCCTGATACCATTCAAGAACCGGAGGAGAATGAGAACATCAAAACAACGATAGAAGAGCTATAGGCCGTGGTGTTATTTATACATTGGCCCGAGAGAAAAGTGTACATAGGCGCTAATCTTAGCCCGGAGGTAAAACGTAAATTGATTGAATTTTTAAAAGCTAACG